TAATCGGAGGAGTGTGTCGAGAGTTAATCGGAGGAGTGTGTGGTGAGTTAATAATCGGAGGAGTGTGTGGCGAGTTAATAATCGGAGGAGTGTGTGGCGAGTTAATAATCGGAGGAGTGTGTGGTGAGTTAATAATCGGAGGATTGTGTGGTGAGTTAATAATCGGAGGAGTGTGTCGTGAGTTAATAATCAAAGGAGTGTGTGGTGAGTTAATAATCGGAGGAGTGTGTGGTGAGTTAATAATCAGAGGAGTGTGTGGTGAGTTAATAATCGGAGGATTGTGTGGTGAGTTAATAATCGGAGGATTGTGTGGTGAGTTAATAATCGGAGGAGTGTGTGGTGAGTTAATAATCGGAGGAGTGTGTGGTGAGTTAATAATCGGAGGAGTGTGTGGTGAGTTAATAATCGGAGGAGTGTGTGGTGAGTTAATAATCGGAGGAGTGTGTGGTGAGTTAATAATCGGAGGAGTGTGTGGTGAGTTAATAATCGGAGGAGTGTGTGGTGAGTTAATAATCGGAGGAGTGTGTGGTGAGTTAATAATCGGAGGAGTGTGTGGTGAGTTAATAATCGGAGGAGTGTGTGGTGAGTTAATAATCGGAGGAGTGTGTGGTGAGTTAATAATCGGAGGAGTGTGTGGTGAGTTGTGTGGTGAGTTAATAATCGGAGGAGTGTGTGGTGAGTTAATAATCGGAGGAGTGTGTGGTGAGTTAATAATCGGAGGAGTGTGTGGTGAGTTAATAATCGGAGGAGTGTGTGGTGAGTTAATAATCGGAGGAGTGTGTGGTGAGTTAATAATCGGAGGAGTGTGTGGTGAGTTAATAATCGGAGGAGTGTGTGGTGAGTTAATAATCGGAGGAGAGTGTGTGGTGAGTTAATAATCGGAGGAGTGTGTGGTGAGTTAATAATCGGAGGAGTGTGTGGTGAGTTAATAATCGGAGGAGTGTGTGGTGAGTTAATAATCGGAGGAGTGTGTGGTGAGTTAATAATCGGAGGAGTGTGTGGCGAGTTAATAATCGGAGGAGTGTGTGGTGAGTTAATAATCGGAGGAGTGTGTGGTGAGTTAATAATCGGAGGAGTGTGTGGTGAGTTAATAATCGGAGGAGTGTGTGGTGAGTTAATAATCGGAGGAGTGTGTGGTGAGTTAATAATCGGAGGAGTGTGTGGTGAGTTAATAATCGGAGGAGTGTGTGGTGAGTTAATAATCGGAGGAGTGTGTGGCGAGTTAATAATCGGAGGAGTGTGTGGCGAGTTAATAATCGGAGGAGTGTGTGGTGAGTTAATAATCGGAGGAGTGTGTGGTGAGTTAATAATCGGAGGAGTGTGTGGTGAGTTAATAATCGGAGGAGTGTGTGGTGAGTTAATAATCGGAGGAGTGTGTGGTGAGTTAATAATCGGAGGAGTGTGTGGTGAGTTAATAATCGGAGGAGTGTGTGGTGAGTTAATAATCGGAGGAGTGTGTGGTGAGTTAATAATCGGAGGAGTGTGTGGTGAGTTAATAATCGGAGGAGTGTGTGGTGAGTTAATAATCGGAGGAGTGTGTGGTGAGTTAATAATCGGAGGAGTGTGTGGTGAGTTAATAATCGGAGGAGTGTGTGGTGAGTTAATAATCGGAGGAGTGTGTGGCGAGTTAATAATCGGAGGAGTGTGTGGTGAGTTAATAATCGGAGGAGTGTGTGGTGAGTTAATAATCGGAGGAGTGTGTGGTGAGTTAATAATCGGAGGAGTGTGTGGTGAGTTAATAATCGGAGGAGTGTGTGGTGAGTTAATAATCGGAGGAGTGTGTGGTGAGTTAATAATCGGAGGAGTGTGTGGTGAGTTAATAATCGGAGGAGTGTGTGGTGAGTTAATAATCGGAGGAGTGTGTGGTGAGTTAATAATCGGAGGAGTGTGTGGTGAGTTAATAATCAGAGGAGTGTGTGGTGAGTTAATAATCGGATGAAAAATTAGTCAATAACTATGACTATGATGAGTTTTTATGATCGGAGGTTGTCCTGCTCGGTGGTCTGCAGTGTTCAGGATGCTCTTGTCCTCCAGTGTTCTGTCCAGCAGTATATTATAACAGCGCTCACAGTAATCACACTCTTGACTTTGACAAACGACACACAGCGAGCACTGAATTTCTGTGTTGATTAAATCCAGCACACGCGTGTATCTGAGCTGCACTGAAATACACAGAGGAAGATGTGCAAGTCCTTCCCACCAATAACTCAGAGAAAAGATCTCAATACATCGCTCTCGGTGACTGACAGTCTCCTGAAGCACAGGAAAACAGCTCTCTCTGCCATCATGCTTCAACCATCACTGTATGGTGGCTCAGTGGTTTACACTGTCACCTCACAGCAAGAAAGTTCCTGGTTCAAACCTCAGCTGGGTCAGTTGGTGTTTCTCTGTGGAGTTGGCATGTTCTCCCCATATTGGCATGGGTCTCCTCTGGGTGCTTCCCACAGTCCAAACACATGCGCTATAGGGGAACTGATGAACTAAACTGGCTGTAGTGTATGAGTGTGTGTGTGTGTGTGTGATAGAGAGTTTATGGGTGTTCCCCAGTACTGGGTTGCAGGTGAAAGGGTATACGCTCTGTAAAACATATGCTGAAATAATTGGTAGTTCATTCCACTGCGGTGACCTCTGAAATAGAGACTGAACCGAAGGAAAATAAAGGAATGAATCACTCCTCTGAATCACTGACACACTTGAGTTTCTTTGGTCTGTCAGGGTTTCTGTTATTTCCTTCTGCTCAATTGTAGTTTTTAAATCAGTATATTATACATTAATATTCTTCTACTGATTTCAATAATAAAATATAAGCAATAACAAATAGCTATATTGTAGTAGTTAATATAGTAACTATTATTTCCAACCATGTCATTTTATATTGTATTTATTCAACAGGTTGGTTATTGATTATATATTTGTTATTAATTAATAGGCGTTTATTGAAGTGTTTCCAATCATGTGCATGTTATATGGCCAATAACTGATAAACACACACTATTATCAATGCACATTTATTACCAATGAATGGTATAGACGGCTCTGTCTTTATGCTGCAGATAAGAGTCTCCTGTCTGGCTATCAGTACAGGATTGAACTAATAAACTGTAAACAGTGTAAATATGAACAAACAGGCAAGAGTTGGAGAAGAGAGAGTTCAACAGATCTGTATTATTCGTTCAGATATTATTATTATTATTATGTTTCTCAAATTAACATTCACCAAAGATTGCTGAACGCTTCTGCGTCTGAACACTGACATATGTGGTAAGTGTTGAGTATATGTCATTATTATAACTACTGTTATTACCTTCTGTAGGACTGATATCACTGCTGACGTCATGTATCATACAAAATATTACTTTCATCACTAACGCAAGTATTATAGTGGTATTATTTAGTAGTAGTAATAGTATTAATGTTCATTCATTCATTTCCTTTTCAGCTTAGTCCCTTTATTAATCAGGGGTCCCCACAGCGGAATGAACCACCAACTTCTCCAGTTGCAACCCATCACTGGGAAACACCCAAACACTGTCATTCAAATACTTACATACACTACGGATCAGTTTCCCTATAGCGCATGTGTTTGGACTGTGGGGGAAACCGGAGCACCCGGAGGAAACCCACGCCAACACGGGGAGAACATGCAAACTCCACACAGAAACACCAACTGACCCAGCCGAGGCTTGCTGTGAGGTGATCGTGCTTCCCACTGCACCACTGTGACACCATTACTGATATTATTATTATTAGTAGTAGTATACTATGAATGCTAAGTACACTATTTAAAATACCACAATTATTATTATGATTGTCATTTCTGTTTATTCCTGCTGATTTCTGTTTGTTTTTTTCTGTTCTTTTGCTGTTCATGTGTTTGATGTTCACCATATCTTGTATGTTCTGTGTTGTATTTACTGTAAGTTGTATGTTTCGCATTCTTAATAATAATACAAATAAGACTGCTAAATGCCTGATTTAAGCAAAAATATAGATTTAAGCCTTGATGTGATTTGTGCATTTCTGCACAGCAAAATATGCTCAAAATTAAACATTTCAGTCCCCATATTAGTTAGAGATCCGCTCATCAGCACCGATGAGGAGTTCGCTGTTGATCTGAACAGCAGTACATGTTAAGTGTTACCTGTGTGTGTGTGTACTCGGAAAGTGTTGTACTCACGGACTGAAGCGTTGCGCTCCTCTAGGAAACACTCCAGCATCAGACGAGCCAAAAGAGCTGGAGATAGATCCACCTGACACACACACAGAGAGAGAGAGATGCACATGGTGAACTCACGACACTAAAACAGCAGCTCTGTCTGACAGCAACATTGGTCACTTCAGCATTTTGGCATGAAAACTTTTCATCCAAGTATTCTGTTCATGAACACGCAGGAATACATTCACAAATAGGAGATGATTATATGGATCATGCCAAGTTATTCATCAGAAATGCATTGTTTCAAGCGCTATACAGTGCTTTTTTTCTATCACAT